AAATTCCCTGTCAGCAAGTCAAGAGGGAATTGGATTGTGCTTTTAAAGAGTTTCAGGTGAGGGAATCCAAGTTTGTAAAGCTTACTTTCTTCTGGGGGCACACACTTCCTTACTCCAAAGCTCACTTTTGTGTGCTCTCTCCCCTTTCTTCTCTCCCACTGTCCCTCTCTCACTCCATGGAGTTCCCTTCCTTTTCCAATGGCATGAGCTGCAGGTAGCCTTTGATCATGCTTTAGTCTCAGAAAACAGTGATAAGCAGCAGTATTTGTTCTGTTACTCCATAGTAATTTACTCTTTTTTGTTGACAAAAGAAGATGGGAAAAGTCTCCACCTGTAGTCCAGTAAGGTGACGTATTTACATCCTTCCAGTTAGTGACTTTCCAGTGAGAACAGCAAACTTTCTTTTGTGCAGCAGCTACTAATTGACTTTGTCTCCACTGAGCCGTAAGTATCTCAGTAGTCACCCTGCATGACTTTGGGCTTGTCCTCTGGTTTTACAACAGCTTTGCAGAAACTCAGTTCAAAGAGGCGTGGATATTACTCTGTTTAGGTTGCACAGCCCTTCCCTCTCAGAGTTCCTTTAGGGCTCCTCTCAGCAGACTGCCTCACCTGTGCAGGCTGAACTCTGCTGCTATAGGCACTTTACCTCAGAGGGTTTTTTGGAAAGCAAGAGAAAGAAAGAGAATGCATTTTTCTGTTTCAGGACAAAACAGGGTCAGAGATTCCCCAGGTAAGCATGAAGTTGTGTCTGCTTGATAAGAAATGGCCCTAAGGTAGTTTTACAGTGGTAATTGATGTTTTAGAGTGTAGTTTTTGAAAGATGTGATAACTCCTATTTATCTTCTTATTAATGGCTTTTTAAAGTGTGGTGATGGTGGTGATGTGGAGATTTTCTTCATTTATATTCAGAAAATAAAAATTAAAAAGTAGAGTATGTATTGTTTTCAGATGTTATCTCATGCATGGTATTTTCAAATTTTATGACAGCATGTATTCTAGTCCTTTCAGTAAACCAGGGAGTTGGTATAGGGCTATAGAGCAAACCAGCTTTTCTGTCTTGTTCTTGTATGGCTGAAGAAAACATTACAGAAAATAAAGGAGGTACAAGTTTTCACTAGGTGAATGGAGAACAACATGCAGATATGTGGTCCACAGCTATGGTTTATTTCACCACTACCAGTCATTCCTCCTGTACATCCTCCAAGCCCATGTCTGCTACAGATGCATGTAAAGGCAGTGTTTTGGGGCTAGTTATGGGCTGTATGAAATGAGCTCTGACGAACACCTGCTCCCAAACACCACATTTCTTCCATTATGTGGCTTTAAGTGAAACCCAGCACCATAGTTAGTATTTCTTGTGTTTAATTTGCAAAATAGACTTACAGTGTATACACTGAATACTGGCCATGTGCCATTAAAACTATGCATCCTTTGCAAAGAAAAACTAATATCAGAAGTAACTCACTGGAAACTTACTTCCTCCCTTCACCCCATGGAGTTACAAAACTCAAGCAGATTAGGACCACAGTGCCAGGGCGTCAGTAACACAGAGAAAAATCTTGCACAAGATTTATGCAACAGTTTTGAACATGCAGTGCCAAAATGTGGGTAAATGCACTCCTCACAAATACGTGTGAAGCCCTGATATAATTAGAATTCTCTGAGAGCTGCGGATTATTTCCATCTCTAGTAATCAGTTTGGAGCAATTGCTGCTATCCGAGGCTCACTTACATCAGCTGGGAAATAACTCACATTGAAACTCCATGGTGATCTGCTTTTGACTGAACTGCTGCTTAAAGAACAAGCAGTAATCACAGTGATGGAAACAATTATAGATAGCTACAAGCCACTTGCTACTATATCTACCTTCATAATTCAATTTAAAACATTCCATTAGCCAGCAGGGTAGCAAAATGGGTTTGTTGTTTTTTTTTTTTGTCAGAAACACTACAGATAATATTCCTTTTTTTTCCCCCTTCCAAATTAACACATTAGCTTTCTGAGCTCTTAGACTACCTCAGAGTGCTTGTCTTACTTGCAGGATTGTTTTAATAAGGTAAAAGGACACAATGTTGGATAGGCTATCAACAGTGCTAAGCTTAATAGTGAGCTTACCTGTTAAGACTCACAAAGGCTTCAAAACGTGCATTGCTATGTAGATGGGATTCACTCACCAATGTTTGTCACAGTTTAGAATTTGTATGCTGTGTCAGGCATCTCCTTTGGGCTAATAATCCAGGCTCCCTTCCACAAGGCAAATATCCCCATCCTAGGATTCATGTCAAGGATGGTGGTCAACCCACTGACATCAAGTATAGATGACCCTTCACCGCTGAGCTGATGGCAATCTGTCTGCCAGCCTTTTATCAACACTGGGTCCATTTTGAATCAGTGCTTGCTGAAAGAGT